TAATAAATATCGTACTGTGAGGTTTATACCATGTCGATATCGTATAGTGAGACTTGGATATCGTTACACCCCTAATAAATGTGCAAATGGCATTACCCCAAAATAGTAAGCTTAACATCAAAACACCTTTTGAATTTTCATTTATAATTACATCTACTATGGAGAGCTGTATTTGCCAATTATGAAAGATTAGCAATATCTATAATATCTAACAATCTTGAGTAGTTTTGCTTGGTGTTTTTGTCCAATTTTGATCTTAAAGAATGAGAAAAGAATTATTTAGACATTTGTATTTACAGTTGTGTTTTGTTAAAGGTGCACTGCGTAACATTTTTAGTTGAGGGTCTGCCATTTGTTTGTCTCCATGGAAATGTTATTGCTTTATCTAGAATGTTCCACAGTATAGATTCAACTATTGCAAGGGAGACAAGCAGGTTACAGCACTACTCTACATTACAATTCAGATCTATGGAGAGTCGCCCCTGTTCACAGAAGGAATTACTGTATTTTTGAGCAACAGAAACTTCTAGATGGATATGTTTAATGTTCTGCCACGGAACATTCCAGGCAAAAGAGACAAGTAGGTAGTGGACCCTCCATCAAAAAAGTTGTGCGGTGAAGCTTTAAAGTCAACTTACGACAGACCAAACCCTATTATTGTCTCTGTAGAAGTGCAAATGGCTTTACCGCAGTACAAAACATAGTATTATAGTAAATCAATAAATAAAGATTTCTCGTGCGTGACCCTGCGCAGTGGCCTCTAATAACATTTAGCCGAACACCGAATGTAACCGAAGCTGTCATTATGGCCTTCAGGATATTGGACTGAGATCGTTTTGACAGAGGTGTCTGTAATACCTTCTATCTTAGTGTTTGCGTATCCGCCATTATTAAATCAATGGGGCAATGGGATGTGTCATTGGCCGTATAGAGATTTATGTGACACCGCCAGCAACAATCGCTCATTACAAATTGAATCATGCAAGTCCAGCCATGAGGTCCAGTTATCCCTGAAATCTTTGTAATAAATCTTTTATAAATGAATTTGAAGGGCTTTTAAGCTTATTCTGACCTTGGTGTGGGTCATGTACTACAGAAAAAATATGTATACACCTAATTTTAACATCATGATATATGAGTTTTGAATTCATATCAATATATTTTAGCTTGTCTGCCAAAATCTCTAGTCTGACTTTTTTTTTCCCCCACTATCAAACATTTTAGAGACATATCCATAATTCCTGTATGAGTGAAGTAAAGGTCCTTGACATAACCTGATCAGTTTGGCCAGAGTTGCTGTAGCCAATCACAATTTCCCTTTTGTTCCCATTCATCCTCAAAAGACTGTCTAATTCCCCATGTCACGCTGGATTTTTTTGATAATTTGTTTATATGTCTGAGCCATGTTATAACTTCATATTAACTGCACAGATTTTATACTCAATTGTCCTGTATTATATAAATTTGACTCTTGTGAGCTTTTAGCCATGTTATAATGCTGTTACCTCCTTAAACACATACCTAGAGTTGTGTTTTGTTTCATTCACACGTTTCAGTAACTAATTATTTTTAGTCTGTCTATATCGCCAAAGCTGAAAATGCTCTGAAATCATCCAAAATATTTTAGTGAAGGTGTATGGAGTTTAAAAACACAGTGGAGCACTTCCTGCATTACCACATGACATCACAACGTGGAACAGAGTATGTTCCGTTTGAGAGATGAACTCATCTTAATTATGCAGGATTTGTGTGTTAAACATGTGTGAATGTAACAAAACACAAATCCAGGTATTATCAATTAAGCCCTGATGAAGACCAGTTAAGGTCGAAACATGTTGGCTTTGGCCATTTAAATAAAGGCTTTTTACTGTATTTTTGTTTGTGCGATTTTTAACTTTTTTTTTTTACTTCTTTGGAGTGCCTGGAGTCCTGTTGTGTTTGACAACTCCAGATATGTTTGTGGTGAGGAAATCACATAATAGCAGTTCATAAAACAGCGTAATCTGGGCACTTTAATGCATTAAATGTATTTATATCTAGACTACAGCCGCCTGCGTCTGAATCTGTTATGTGCTATTGCTTGTTCTCCATAAATTGACCACAGGCTGGAAGAGCCGGATGTGGGTGCAAAAAGATTTTAGAACTTGTTTTCATCATTATAAATCAGAAACAACTAACATGTCTGACCAAAGTCCAAACCCTGTTGCTTCATACATGCCATTTTGAGGTGGCTATCTCCATATGTTGATCAATGACATGAATAATGCTCTGCTCCAATTCCCTATAGAAACAAACATTATACCAGTAGTATACAGTAGAGATAGATCAATATATGGAGCCGATATTTGGACCTTATTTTGTTTTAGTCAATCTGCTGCCTAAAAATACACACAAATCTTTATTTTAACACTTCACTGCATAGAGATAACTGCTAAAAACATAACTACACAGCTCTCTTATGGGTTTGTGATAAAAAAAAAAAAGAGGACAGTGGGTGAGTTTGTGGTAAATTTAAAGGCACATTGTGTAACTTTTCCAGTGGAGGGTCCTTCAAATACTTCGTTCTGTGGAGATGTTATTGCTTTGTGTGGAATGTTTCCCAGTATGGTATTAAACCTTTCTGTCTTCATGGAGAATAGCTGTTTTTCTAGGTATTTTTGAGCTATAAAACTATCTGTAATGGAATAAATGTAAGGTAGACAGGGCAAGAGAGGACCCCCAACCAAAAAGTTACACAGTGCACTTTTAAATAACAGAATTTGGAGAAAATATTCAAAATCAGCACTATATAATGACCCAAAAATATCGACAGAGATTTTTGGCTATCAGTTTCTGTGAATTCAATACAATCAGTATCGGCATCAGCCATGCAAAAACCCACAATGGTAAATCTCTAGTATACATTCAATAATATTTAGACTGTATAATTAGCCTTTTGCAATTGTAAGCCTATTACAAGATATTGACAACAACATCCAGGGTTGTTGACAGTCAATAGGCATTATGAGCTACACACTAACAAAACAAGGACTGCAAACTAAACTAAAGTAGTATTGACTGCCTCATAGTCAACACATTACGTAACAGACGTGACACACTGTTTGTGCGATACAACGATTAAGTATAGATTAACTTGTGTCTGTTTGTTAGACAGGGCATGACTGGGTGATGAGTTTCATGGACCAGACTGGAGATTATGTAGGTCCAGATTAAATGGATGTAGCAGACATCCCTATGCACTGGCAAATGAACTGGCCTTTGGTACATGCATTTTATAACCACAGACTGTATAAAGAAGTGGACTGTGGGCAAAATATCGACAAATAGCGAAATAAAAACACCAGGATCATGTAGAGTAGATTAATACAAACATTTTAGACCAAAATGGTGAGGCTCAGAGGAGCAGTTTCAGAGAGAGGGATGACAACATTTCAATGTAAATTAATTTGGAGCCAGAATCAATGGAGCCAGAAGTGCCCCCATGCTCACTTCCTATTTGGAAAGCAGTGCTAGTTAGTATGTCCGTTTATATACAGTCTATTTATAACTTACTTGCTACTCTTGTGTAGGGTGACCAGATTTTCAAAATAAAAAACTGGAACATCCCTGTTTTTTTGATAGTTGGTAATAATAAAATTGTGAAACAAGTGCGTAATTAAGGAAAGCTGTAATGCAGAGACAATTCATGACAAATGTGTGAGTCAGTATAGTCATAGTTTTGGTCGTTTTTATGCATCTTTTTTTTTTTTTTTTACCAAAACAATGTATCCCTCTCTTTACTGTAGGCAGGTGTCAAATTGGTCAAAAATAGGGACCCCTGGGACAATTATTGAATAAAACTGGGACAAATAATTGTTTTTTGATAAATCTGCAGGGACAGGGGAGACAGGGCTCAAAACTGGGACTGTCCCAGGGAAATAGCGACATCTGGTCACCCTACTCTTGTGTAGAGGGGTGAATTGGGCACTGGGAAGTGTGCAGTATGTTAAGCAGCTCAACAGCGGTTAAGACACTAGGTAATAATTGTCCTAAAGGTGATAAAATTAGAATGGCATGCAACTCTAAAAAACAAGGGACTATTTGTTCAGGCACCCATCTTTTTCAGGAAACAAAGACCCAGTAGGTTTAACAAGGAATGATTCATTCAGAGTAGTCATGTAACAATAACCAAGATATCATGATCTCTTATCATCAAACGTATCACAATAGTATCGTGGTGTATCACAATATATCGAATCACTAGTCCCTTTGCTTAAATGCATCGTTTTACAGCTGTAATAGCTAATAAACATCAGAAACTACATATCCCATGATTCATTTCAGCGCAGACAACATGAAGTTATACGTTTTTTACTTGAATTCTTATTGGGATAATTCACACCAAAATCTTGGCAGGGCATTTTAAAATAAAAAAAAAATAAAAAAATCGTAACGCACATTGTGATAATATCGTAAGGAGAGATTTGGATATCGTTACTAGCCTCAAACGAACAAAACACACAAAGTTATTAAATGATTAAAAGTATAAAAATATAATATATTAAAAAAATAATAATTAAAAAAATTAAAAAAAATACACATTCATTGCAGTAAATGTATAAAAGATTTTTTAAACATAAATTTAAAGTCCAGAGCTGTTCAATTTCTTCTTCTTATAATCATAAAAAGAGCCAAGTTTAGCTTTATTTTTAGCATTAGCATATTTTTTTAGCCTCAGAGCACCGTGAAGGGTGAGGGGGGGTCACGGCTTCCGTCATTCGCCGGTGGAAACTAATATTTTATTCCTTGCAAATTTTGTCCTTATTATTAAACCATTGAAGTACAAATGAGTTGCTGAGCTGAAGGAAAACATGACCTGGCTTTTTAATGGATAAATCATTAAAGTCTTTGTGGTCGGGACAAAGAGGGCGTATGCCGTGGGGCTGCGGGACCTCCACGCCCCGCCTCCTGCATAATGTGCCGGTGAGCTCCATTCAATGAGCCAGACAGTAGCGCCCTGCCCCGCGGACCATCACCAGAGGACCCAACTGCTCCTATAAGTCGTCACAAGTGATAATATTGGACTGTATAATGACTTTTTCTCACCGCTAGTTTCAGCCAAGAAACTTTACAAGGAGCGGAACTTTCCCTGCCACAAAGACGGATGGAAATTATTCCGGAAAGCCTCTCCTCCGCCGCGGTGGTACCCTAAACTCCGAATACAAAAACGAGAACACTAGGTTTACTATGGATACTTTCTTTTTAGAGGTAAGCTACACGATATCTACATCTACAGGGAAATCTCACTTTTTGCCTTTTATCGCAGTGTAAAAAGTAGGATATCCTCGGTCTTTTTAGGAGCGACGTGCTCTTTGTTTTGTTTTCATGCCTGGGTGAGTGAGGGGCTACTGTTTGCCAAGAAGTGCATCCTTACACAAAATTTATTATTAAACTTAACTTATTTTCAATTTATGTACCCTATGTTTCTCATCACGTGCGTAATAACTTTACTCTAATCTTAAAATAGGATCTTTACATCTTTTCGGCGATCTTTCAATAAAAAGCGGCAGGACCCATGGGTCTCTTCACATAATTAAATCGCATCCATCCAATTTGCCACTCTCTGTATTGCTGGGCACCCTCTTTATCACTGTATTTGTTCAGTAGGCAGTGCTGACTGTCTCATCGCCAGCACAGGATGTGTCATCTATAATAAGACTGTAGACTGTTTGCATTTAGACAGGCTGCAACGAGTCCATAGGTCTGATTTGTCATCCTCATCTGAGTCAAACTCACTCACACAATAAGACCAGCATCGATAAACTTTCTCTTTCTAAACCCATTTTTTTATGTTACTCATACGGAACAATGCAAAAATCAACAAATGCAATAAAAAAATGTATAGAAAAGGTGTTGACTCAGTCATGCATAATAATCACATGATCATGTTACTGCAATGGCAAAGTGATATATGGCCTTGAGGTAAAACACTAGACAATTTATTGCAATCAATTATTTATAACATTAACCTTGCAATCAATACTGATGCCATTCCTCTTGTGACTTGTCAAACAGATGGTTTACGACCTTCAAGTCAACTTTAGCCAAGCACACTGAAATCATGTGCACTTCGCTAATTTGCACATTTTGTTACTGTAATAAACACGTAACAAGACACCCACATTTGACTTAATGTTGTTTAGAGAAAGTAAAGACTGGGTCAAGTTTTCTGTGAAGTGTAGATTTAATTAATGAAGAGTTCCGGACTGAAAATAAGGACTAGACTAAACTTAGCGGTGATAATTGCATCAGAGTGCTTATATCTGTCTTGCATGTTGCGTTGTCTACCATCTTTGCCTTTAATGTCAGGGTCAATGTTACTACGAACTAAGTATATTTAAGGAACAGGAGGGCAGATAGTACGAGGGTGTGCTCAGGGTTTTATCCTGAAATCCCATCCTGTTCATCAGTGCGGTCTTTCCTTTCAGGAGCTGACAGCACCATAAAACCTTCTGCACAACCGCCTTCACTCTACGCCCAATCCATCCTCTGTAGAGTGAGTGGGACAAATGACTATTAGGAGTTCATCACAGTTCATGCGTAATACTTACTGTACATTACTTACGTCTTTCCTTTTTAAACTGATGTAACTGTTGATGAAAATACTCAAGGTGATGTAGCTCAGTTAAAGGGCCCATAATACACAATGTTTTGATCTGTTATAATGTTGTTTCTTCATCACAAACAGACCTGGATTTGTGTTTGTTTCATTCACACAGGTTTAACACACAAACCCTGCACATTAAGGCTGTGTTCTTTTCTTATACTGAAAACACTGGTCCACCCTGTGATGTCATGTGGTAATACAGGAAGTGCTCCACTAGGAGTTTAAAATCCATACACCTTCTCTAGAAACATTCGGATCATTTCAGCCCTGGAATTGCAAATCTCTATTATGATTCATCAGCCGGTTTCACTTCATGGAAACCATCTGACCTCTCAGCAGTAGAATTTATTCGCTCGACAGTAGACAGGTACTTTTTTATTTAACCAATCAGTTTGGTCGTGATGTATGTAATGCTTCACTAACGGCGCTAAGAGGTATATGAAGCTTTTCCCAAATCCCGTAGGAAGAAGGACAATAACGTCTTTCGCCTTGACGAAATTCACCAAACATTCTCTTTGTTCCGGCTTTGAATCCTCGATCTCGGGAATCATTGCTAACACAGAATATATGGCTCTTTGCTGATCGGCTGGTGCCCGAACTTGCACTTCTGGGGTTCTTGCAAACCGTCTAGTGTATTCCGATTCCTGACCTAGTCGCTGGAGAGAAATGAAATTGAGCGGAGGCACTAGGAGGCACCAGCAGTATAAAGCAGTATTACTCAAATGTGTGAATGAAACAAAACACATGTCCAGGTATGTTTTTAATGAGGAAACAACATTATAATATGACTTAAAAAGCTTTCAAGAATAAATTTTCTGTATAGTTAGCATTTAATAATTAATCGAATTTTGATCGTGATATCAATTTGTGTGTCAAACGATCTCCAAACTCATATAATCAAGTTGAAACGATTTAAAGCTTAGGAAATTTTATTTAAATATGTATATATATATATATATATATATATATTTATTTTGGGATATTTTTTTATATAAATAAGTGTTTTATTTTTATTTTTTTATAGAGATTGTAGAACAGCTGGATATATAGTTTATTTTTTATATGTTTATGATTTTCTATTTTCTTATTTCATGTTCAAAGTATATTTTACTCATTTTATGTTTTATACATCACAAAGCTGCTCTAAGGTAAAGATTTGTAGTCTATATCTATCTTCAATTTGAAAGTTTTGAGTAAATTATCAATAACAAATTGTTGTGTTTTTTTGTTTGTTTTTGTTTTGAGAGAGAGAGAAATGCTGAATAAATGCAAAGTGCAACAAAAAATAATCGTCTGAATAATCATGATTTCAATATGGACCAAAAATAATCGTGATAATGATTTTTTCCATAATCGAGCAGCCCTACAACCATCTTTCCGCCATCTAATCCACATGACATCGTGAGAAATCCTGCAGCCATCTACCACCCTAACTGTCACAGAAGTTATCATATTACTGGAGTTAAAAATTCCATAAGAGCTTTTGAAAATGCACTTACAGTATGCATTTCTAAACTTAGTAATTCTTTAGTGAAACAGCTGCTGGCCTTCCACCGGCTCTATAGTCTCTCTACACCGTCCGATTTATACTGTGAGTGACATCGCCCCCTCAGTCCTCCCTGGTTTATTTTGACAGTGGGAATCCTCTGCAGTGACCCTTCAAATTCCCAGCCACAGACACACATTGTAAAGCTGTCTAACCTGGCTTAAAGGTGCATTGTGTAACTTTCCTGGTGGAGGGCCTGTCATCTGCTTGTGTCCCTGGAGATATTATTGCTTTTTTGACTTAGACTTAGACAAACTTTATTGATCCAAAAGCGATATTACTTGGACACAGTAACTCACACATCACAATATATTCAGAATAAGTAGCAATGCCTGAAATGTTCCACCTTACGGCATTAAACTCATCCATCTCCATACAAGGCCACAGTAGAATGCAGGTTTTTAAGGCTTTTTTAATCAATAAAAACACCCATAATTGAATAACTGCATCTTATATAAGTTCAGTGTCATATTATTGTGGTACATTACAGGCAAAGCAATATCATCTCCATTACGGGTGTGCAAAAATATTGAAATATTAATATATCGTATCGTTTAATGCAATCATACAGTATCGATATCATAGGCTGCTATATCGCCCAGAGTATTTTTTGGTATATTTTACTCAATTATTTTGTTACAGTGCTACAATTTTGTTGCTTATTTAATGGAACGAAACTTTTTTATGCGACACATTTGACATTTTCACTGTTTTGAGGATTAAAATGTTTGTGTTTCATATGAACTTTGCACAAGAAGTGGTTTAAGCCAAGATTTAGCCATTTTTTTTAATTGAACGTATCAAAATATGTCATATCGACTCTAAAAGCTCACTGTATCGGGGGATGTATCGTATCGTAAAGTTACGCAGTGCCCCTTTAAGTTTTACACTAAACTTTTGTAGCACAGTCACTAACGCAAAACCTGGAACTACTAGCGAAAAAGTTGGCTGCAAAAGTTTAGCAAATCCAGTTTTGATATGATTTCCTGATAATAAATTGTTTTGTAATTGGACCCAAGGGACACAGTCAGAGTTAACCTCCAAAAATGAATTGCATATTGTTGCAGTTTTCTGATGGAGAGTCCATCAAATGCTTTTCTCCAGGGAGATTGTTATAACTTTGTCTGAAATGTTTAGCAGTGTGGCATTAAAAGGACAGTCTGGAATTTTGGACATAGGACCTCATTTCCTAGTTGGCCAGAGTGTTGGAGACATATGGAAAAAGTGCCTCCAAACGTATCCCACACTCAACATGGAGTTAAGCAATTGGTGGAGGACCTTCTGTTTGAAAAGTTACACAGTGCACCTTTAAATCTACATTATCTATGTGTAATCTGCAACCTAGCAAATAGCCAAACATATCACCCTCTATGTCATTGTTTCCCAAAGACTATATATACAGTTCTGACACATGTTAAGACATATTTTGTATAATTTCTAATCTTTTTGTAATTATTTTATTGACAATTTTGTTCCACTATTGCTGATTCATTTGAATGTTTAAAAGAAAAAGAAATGGGCTACATTCAATGTCCAATGATACATTTTATTGCTGGTTCATTTACTGTTTTTCATTGTTTAAAACTTGAGTAATAATACTAATTCTTCAGAGACACTCAGTCAACAATAAAATATCCTCATTAATGTTCAGTAATGTTCAAATCCACATTTAATTTGTGATTTGTGAATAATCTATTGATTTGGGTCGTGAAGGTTTGGGTTTAAAATATGGGTCCCCAGAAAAAAACGTTTGGGAACACTGCTCTGTGTTCGTAATGGTAAAGTTGAAAAGTGAAGTCCTGTTTGTAACTTTGCTTTGTTCAAATTTTTTCTCAAATCTTGTACGAACTTAGGCTGTATGAACACGGGTTGAGTTTCACACCATCATCACCAGCACCACATGATTCCCCCAGCATCCCTTGCAGCCTGGGCGTTTGAAGCAGGAATGTTTCGTTGGCATGGCCTGTCAAAGCGTAACATGAGAGAGGTGGACTATTTCTCTCTTTCTTTTGTAACGCAGTTGTCATTTCCGCCAGCTGCCTCTGTTAGTGAGAC